CTTTCTATAGCTGAAGGGAAAAGAAGACTCCAAAAGTGTGTTTGGTTAAAGGACTCAGCTCTTCCATGAAACCTTCCTTAACCAAGATGGTGCTATTTTAATTCCTTCGGCACATGTTTATAACCTATATCATAGTCTTACCTAATATGTTGATTTGAAACTATTCTCTATCATTATTTTATATAGTTTATTAAGTAAATAACCTTTTGAGCATTTACTGTGTAAAGGGCACTACTGTTTAGCACTGCTAGAGGATATGTAATCCTTGCCCTCAGAAGGCTTACAATATAAAAATGGAGCTAAGGCAAATATATACTATAACAAAAGGAAGAGTGAAAGTACTGTGGGACTTCTGAAGAGAGAGATAATATATTATGTAGAAGACTGAAAAGGGTGACATAAAGGAGGTGACTTATAAGATGTAGACTTTGTGACATTCAGTGGTAGGAAGACATGCCAGGTGAAGGGACCAGGAGTGGAGGCAGAAAGTAATATCTGTAAAGGGAAATGGCAAGGAGAGGTAGATTAAGGCTATAAAATATTTGTCTTTGACTACTACACAAAGGAGTTGTGCTTATTTAATAAAATAGAGAACCAGTGAAGGGTTTTGAGCAAGGCATAGGTATAATGAGAGTTGTTTTAGAAATATTAATCCAGTGGCAATGTCTAAGATTAATTGCAGGGAGAAACTATAATCCAGGTGATGAGAATTTATAAGAAGTGTCAACTGATTGCGTGTGCACAAACATTTTGAATCTAGGTAACTCAGAGAATGTTGATCCTATTAACAGAACAAGTTAAATCAGGAAGAGGCTGGTTTGAAAAGGTTGGGGAAATGATTTTCACTTTAGATGTGAGTTTGAAGTCCCCACAGAATATCCAAGCTAAGATATATAATGGGCAGTAGAAAATTGAGGATCGGAGATTTGAGAGGCCTGTACAGAGCTTAAGTCATTATGAGTGCATGAACAGACTGAGTGCAGAGAGAATATAGCCAGCCTTCAGGAAATGTCTACACTTAGGAAGGAAAAAGACAACACAAAGGAAGAAAGGATTATCATCTCTACTAAATGTAAGCTCTTGAAGAAAAAGTTTGATACCTACTCTGCTTTCTTTGTATCCCTTGTTGTCAAGTTTAATAAATTTGTGCTTTGAATATATGGGAAATAAAACCACAAGATTGATAAGACTCTTTTCCGCAGGATGAGGATGAAGAAGTATACAAGAGAGATTTCAGCGCACCTACCCTGGAGGATCATTTCAACAAAACCATTCTTCCCAAAGTCATGCAGGTATGGGGTACCTTAATAACACGAGAAAAGTAACATATTGAGGGCTGGGACATGATATGTTTGGTGGTATAACTCATCATCTGACCTTCCCTCAGGTCAAGAACTTTGGGCGCTCTGGTCGTACCAAATACACCCACCTTGTGGATCAAGACACCACCTCCTTCGACTCAGCATGGGGCCAAGAGAGTGCTCAGAACACAAAGTTCTTTAAACAAAAGGCAGCTGGGGTACGAGATGTATTTGAACGGCCATCTGCCAAGAAGCGGAAAACTACTTAGAGTTCAACTACGTATTCTTCCAGCTATGGGACACAAGAGGAAGTCTCAGCATCTGGTCCTTGATTTGCTTTTACCCTTATTTACATGGCCCCAGTATCCAGCCTGTTGGACATACTGCCATAGTTGTGACACTGGGCAACCCAGTCTGTGAAGGTGCTTTGTGAGGTTTGGACTCATGCTGAGAAACCCACAGAAAAGCACTATCCAGGTAGGATAAGAGTCCCACTTACTATTTCTGAGAAATCATAGGTTTCATTACTGCTCTGGCTTCCCAAATTCACTTGGGACTATTCCAAGCTTCTTTTTCCAGCTCCTTAGCTTGGGTTACACGGGCATGTAAGTGGACAATGCATTTCTTTTACCTTACAAGAAATCTAAGCTTATTGAAACCTGTTTTGCATTTTTGGTTGGAGTCAATTTTTCTAGGTGAACAAACTTTTTGATCCATTTATGTATGTGTGTCAAGGAATAAAGGAATTATACACCGAGAAGTTTTTTAGCATGATATTGGAAATAAAATGTGGAGGCTGACAAGTATCTACCTATTAACGAAAATAAAAGATAGCAGGGACTTGTCTGGCACATTTTGATCATCGTCTTTGATCTCAGAAACAAACTCAGATGCTAGACAGGCTGTATTCTAAGTGGCACCTAGCCTTATTCCATAAGCAAATACATATGTGGTTGTCCTTACTCTCTAAATTGTAGCTGTACATAGAAAGAAGTTGACCCACAAAATGGGGAATCCAAGTACCTACTAGTATCTTCTCCTTGCCCAGCTCATGTATCAAAGGAGGGCACAATGCTCTCCAAGTTGAAATGTAATGACATCATGCTAGAGTTAAATTCAGTGATTTTTCCATTTATTACGTGCTGCATAACCACGACGCACATGGCAGAGCACTGGGAATCCTAGGGGTTATAAGGAATGACATTTAACCAGTGGGAAGGCTAGTTCTCAGTTGCAAAAGAAAAAAAAAATGAGAAGGCCAAGGTCTTTTTGCATCCTTTAAATGCCCCACTGGGAGAATCACTCATAAATCCTTAAATGTCCTAGAGTAAAAATACAAGTGTAAATAATTACTATGAGGTAATACACATTATTACCTCACTGAATATAAGTCACTGTTGTGTTTCAGAGAGGGGGATACAATCAGAATTATCCTCCAGCCAAAATGGATAAGACCTTGAAATTCTTTGGGGAAAGTTTTATAGCTGACATTTGAGTGTCAACTCTAAGGCAGGTACTAGGCCAAGCTTTTTGCATTCACCAGCTCCTTGGTTCTTACAACAACCTATCAGGTATGTATCATTTTACAGCTGAGGAAACAGAAGCTCAGCAAAGGTGATTTGGCCTAAGTTGATCAACTTTTAAAGTAAAATTGTCTTCACTCCAGGATAGGAAATGGAATGTAAGGTATAAGTGTTATGGTTCAGAATTCAAATATTAAATCATAAATCAAAATCTTTCATAGATTAATTCTATATAAGACCTAACCTTTGATATCTTCTATTGTACATACTTAACCATGTTCCCACCTTAGTACCTAAATTCTAATTCACAGTGGATTGATGACTTACATCTCTGTAAAGTGGCTCTTAGGAAGGTAGTGGCCTTTCAGCTATTCATAAGCTGCCCTAGAGACACATGCCATGGGGTATAGTAACTTTGCTGAGACTCCACATATACCTTGAATACTGTTAAGTGAAAGCTAGTCAGATGAATAAGCCTGGCCTGCCACCTATCATCTGCATCTGAAAATGAGATAATCTACGCTGATCCTTCATATAGGTTCATTAAGGGATGGGGGGGAGGAGTGTCACTTAAATTCAGTTATACTCTAGCATGTAAATTTCCACAATAACATACAATATACATTGCACTTGATCCAAGATGATAAAACTGCAAAAAAAAAAAGGACAAATCTTTATTGAAATAAGTTAATCCAGTGGGTAGGTCTGAGAAACACAAATCAATTGGTTAAGGCAATAAGAGCCTCTACCACGTTGCCCATGTGTTCCCTCAAGCTCCGTTCTGCTGCTGCTCGTGAGATCTCCATCTCTGTCATCTGCAGGAAAAGGATCATGTTACCTAAGTCTCCTCTCAGGCATTCATGTGCCACCAAAACATGCTGACTCTACTTGTTTCAGTAAATAACCCAAATTAAGCAAAGTAACTTCCCCTGCCCATACACTAGTTAGGCATTACTACTCACTATCAGCTCCAGATCTTCTTTCTTGATGGTGACTTTTGCCAGTTCCTTTTCCCTGCAAATATTCATGTACATCAGTCCTCATTCTCTACCTCTACCATAAACTCCCAGGAAGGATCACTCCCAGCTGTGCCTTACAAATAAATGACTCTTGATAAACATTATTGAGTGAAAAAACGACTCTCACCCTCTCACCTAACATCCCCATCCCTTCCCCTGGAGTCTTTACAGCAGGCAGCAGGCGTTGCCAGGAGGCCTTTCTTTCAACCAACAAGAGAGTCGAGTTGTAAACCTTACATCTGCAGAAATTGATGACAGAACTGAAGAACGGTACAAAGGCTTAACGATGACTTATTTTTGTCTGCGGGAAAGAGACTGGGTGGGCTGGTTGTGTGCAGAAGACTTACCGCTCCTGCTTGGCTTTCTGCTCTCGGGACCGTCTGTCTCCAATCACAGACATGGCCTATGGGAAACACAGATCTAATTACTGCTCTGCTACCCACAATACGCAATACTCTAAAAACGTGTGTATTCACGCTGACGAGTGTATCAGGAACCAAGGCCTATGTTTAATTCAGTTCTGTGCACCTCAGGTCCACTTTAAACCCAATCTCCATCAAGCTCCTTGTCGCAAGCGGCGGGCTCCAGTGACGGTTTCAGTTTCCCTCTTGCCTCCTCCCGCCATCGGGATCGGGACCCGTCCTGTAGCGAGGCTTTCAGTTAACAGCCTCAGAGCCCCCTCTGCTCTCGGCCCGCCCAGACACGCTCCAGGCCAGCCTCACCGTCTCCAAATTGGAACTCTGGATCTCCTTCTCCTCTGCATAGTCGGTGACTCGCTCCAGGTCCGCCGCACCACTGTCATGTTTCCGTGGCTTCTCGGGAGGCCGCTCCGGACCGCTGGTCTCAGTCTCCAACTCCAGCTCCACGTCCCCCTCGGTCGCCATATCAATCCCACGGCGCCGCCGCACAGGCCCCGCCCCACCTCTCCAGGACTTCCGGTAACTGCGCCATAACTTCCGCCGGGAGAGGAAAAGGCGGAGCTGACCCTGGGCCACACCTTCATTAATACTCTGGTTCTAGAAGCTTCAGCGAGGAAAGCGCTTCGCGTCTGACTTACTTTTGGGCTTGTACAGTGTTGTGTTCTGCAAGGCCGTACTCAGACGTAGCCCATCACCACTCCAGACCTTTCCACCGACATCCTTCCCTCCTCTTCACCTAGATACCCCTCACATATACACCTCCAAGAATTCTGTTCAACCAGGATGGTTGACGTCTAATCCTAAACCAATTAAGAAACTAATCCACAGGAAGTCAGATATGCAAACTGCTTTCTAATCTGGGGAGAACAGGCTGAGTGGCCCAAAGGCCCTGGGGAGAAAGTCACAGGGATATTTGCATTTACCACATCCTGGAGGTTTGTGTTCTTTTCCTGATGTCCCTCCCGATCCTGCCTTAGGCTGGGTGACCGGCTCCATCACAGCCACAGTGCAATGGGCTGAGGGCAAAAGAAAGCTGCTGCTTTCTCATCTATCTTCCATCTGGTGGACCTGGGCCTAATCCCTGGGACAAGGATGGTGGGTGCAAAAGGCATCACAGGCCCCAGCACCTCCCTCCGACTGGCTCAGCAACGCGGTGGAGTCAGCAGTGTCGTGGTAAATCCTCCCTTCTATCAGGTGAGAGGGTACTTGGGCAGAGAGGCTGGAACACTCCCTAGATCAAGAGCTATCTGAGAAAGTGGAAAGGAATGGTGGCTGAAGCTGGGGAGGAAAACCCACGGGAACCAATAAAGATGATAGGCTTTCCTTTCCCCTCTGAGGCCCTTCTGCTTCTTTGCCTCTAAGACTACTGATCATTAAACCTCTCCTCCCACATTCCCAGTACCAGATGTTTAGGTCTAGGGAAAGATTAGAGGCCAAATGTGACTTATACTTTTAGGAAGGTCTGCTCAAGCCTGCAGGTAAGTAAGCTCTTTTGATAAAAGCTCTACCTGATGTCAGTGGAAAGCAATCCTAAATAGGTTGGAACCAGACATTCTGAGAATTCCTAAGTAAAAGGAGAGAAGGGGAAATTTTGGAATTCAGCCTCATGGGTTAACCTCACACATACATTAATGTAAGCCTTTCCTTAGCAAATCTCCACCTTGCTGCCCTGCATCTGCTTTACCCCCAGGTGTCCTGCTGTGGGCCTCTTCCCTGTCCCTGCTGCTGCCCTTGGAGGTGGCCCCCTCTCACAGAGTCTGCGTGTAGCCGCCTGTTCTACATCCTTCTCCACGTGGGGGCGTCAGCAGTCTGCTGCCTCCTGCTGTCAAGGACAGTAGTGGAAAGGGTCTGGGGCAGGGCACATGGGGTAAGTGGAAGGGGGTCGGGTTGCAACTGGGAAAGGATAAAAGGAGAAACCCTGAGATAGACAAGAGATTCAGATTGGGGGCAGGGGACAAATGAGTGGACATACACATGAGAAGTAGGTACCTCTCTATGCATGACTTGCCCTGCCATTTCTCACATGCACCCTCCCCTCCAGATCCAGATGCCCTCGGGGTTGTGTGCCCATCTGTTTGGCCATTCTCACTGCCCAGAGCTCAGTGGCTCTGGGGCTGTGTACCGAGTATGTGCAGGAACTGCCACCTTCCACCTGCTGCAGGCTGTGCTGCTGGTCCACCTCCAATCCCCCACCAGCCTGCGGGCACAGCTGCATAACAGGTTTGTGTGTATTCTTTGGGTGGGGAGAGGAAAGGGAGGGAAGTAGACTGAGTATAGGAAATCCCAAGATGAAGTAATAGCACTGTAAAAAAACAGAAAACAGGTTTAATTCCCTACTTCCACTGTACTTGCTATGTGACCATGAGCCACACAGTTAACCTCTTTGAGCTTCTAGTTTCTAAAATAGAGACAACAATGGGGTTATTATATGCAAACCCTTTGTCAACTGTAAAATATTGTCCAGATGTTATTATTTAGGTATCTGAGAGTTCGAATTTGGAAAAGGCTGCAATGGGCCTGTTTCCAGCCCCTCTCAGACAGGACTGATTCCTCTTTCCTATTCTTAGTTGTCTCTTCTCTCCTCTTCCCTATAGTTTTGCTTTCTCCTTTGCCTTCCTCCATAGGTACTGTTCACTCTTCTTTGCCTTTTCTTCTGAGTCTAGTTTTCTCTTTCCCTCCTAACCAGCTTCTGGCTCCTGAAACTGCTGTTCCTGCTAGGTCTCTGTGCTGTTGCCTTCTGCATCCCTGATGAGCATTTCTTCCCAGGTACCTTCCATCTCACATCCTGATCATAAGTAAAATAAAAGATTTTCGAAGAGAAAGGGAGGGTAGGAAAAGGACCAGGAGTAATGAAATGACCAGCTACTTTTTCCCACTGGTGCCCCACTTGCAGCCTGGCATTACATTGGCATCTGTGGAGGCTTCACATTTATCCTGCTGCAGTTGGTGCTTATCTCAGCCTTTGCCCATTCCTGGAACAAGAACTGGTAAGGAGCACATAACCCTAAAAGCTCTTCCTGGGAAGGTTGTCTGACACTACTAGACCCCGTGGAGCTGGGCCGTGACAGGTCAATGGTCCCATAGCTTCCCACTGAGCAGTATCAGAAAAAGCTCAAGAATGTGGTGACTCTGTGGGCCAGGTGGGCTGGGTAGTCACACCAGTCTTCTAAGAGAGGCGGAACAGTTGGTAATGGGTAAAGAGTTGGAGTCCCAAGCCATTGCCTACCTCCTACCCTTACTTAGGCAGACGGGTGCAGCCCAAGACTGCCGCTGGTTCCTAGCTGTGCTGCTGGCCACCCTAGGATTCTACAGCATGGCAGGTGTGGCAGCTGTGCTCCTGTTCCACCACTACACACACCCAGCTGGCTGCCTGCTCAACAAGATGCTGCTTAGTCTGCACCTTGGTTTCTGTGGCCTCCTCTCCTTCCTCTCCATCACTCCCTGCATCCGCCACAGTGGGTACATGCCTTGCAACATCCCAGATTTGGGGGGCCTTTAGTATATAGCAAATTTCATTAGCCTCCCTAATATGTCAATTCTCTGCTTCCCCCAAAGGGTGGAGAGACAGAAGTGTGGGTGGGGGTACAAGCGGAGGAAACTACCCTGTAGACTAAAGCAATGATCCCCATTCTCCCCAGAGCACCCCCGCTCTGGCCTTCTACAAGCTTCTATCATCAGCTGCTATATCATGTACCTGACTTTCTCTGCGCTGTCCAGCCGTCCTCCAGAGAGTGGTAAGGACAGGACCTGGACCCCTCATGCTAAAACCTTTCTTTGCTCCTGCCAAATACTTAGCTCTTTGTTCTTACCACCTTTCTCTTCTGTTGCCCCTTCTCAGTAATCCTTCACGGACAGAATCACACTCTGTGCCTGCCTGGCCTGAGTAAAATGGAACCCCAAACACCAGATACTTCTGTGGCAGTACTGAGTGCTGGCATCATGTATGCTTGTGTGCTTTTTGCTTGGTACGTACAGCTGTCAAGGGGAGAGGTGTGACAAAATGGAGGATGCCCAGGACAGGGAGGAATGGTCAGGAGATTGTCTGGGACCATGGTTTATTTAAACTTTAGAGCAAGACAAGAGAGTGAGGAAAGCTCCCCATGAACAGAAACAATTTCTAAGAATAGCACTGTCAGATGATCTGTGTGAGATGAAGGGGATAGGGGGAATGACTTGAGAATTAAAAATATGTGCAAAGATTTTACGGCCTTCAAATGAAAAGATTTCTAAATCTTTGGGGGAAAGGGGCTCCGGGAGCAAAACACCCTCCTGAGAGTTACCAATATGGGGGAGTTAGCAGTAAATGCTCTCAGGCAATCCCTCTTGCTATTTGACTGAACCGCTTGAGAACTGTCTCTTCTTTCTCAGCATCGAGGCTTCCAACCTGGCTGAGGTACTTGGGCCCTTGTGGATTATCAGAGTTTACAGCTATGAGTTCCAGGTAAGGATGGAGAGCTCAATATCCCCAGTGCCCCTCCGCACTCACACACAGACACACACACATCCCACCAACCTCTACCCAGAATGCTCAGATTCTAGCTGCTATTACCTTTTATTGAGTACCCACAATGTGCTAGGCACTGTGCTAGATACTTTATACATAATCTCATTTAATTTAATCCTCACAACAACCCTGTGAGGTAGGTATTTGCTCCATTTTACAAATGGAGAAATTGAGGCACAGAAGGTTAAACATCTTACCAAAGTTCCCATAGCCAGTCATATGCTGGAGCTAGCATTTGAACCCAGGTGTGCCTCCACTTTTTACACCAGACTAATCTTTTCAAAGAAGGGGAGTTTCTTATATTAATACCCTCACATTTTTAGTCATTCCAAAACATACTGCCTTTTGTTTTACAGAAGCCCTCACTCTGTTTCTGTTGCCCCAAAACAGTGGAGCCAGAGGAAGGTGAGTGTCAAGTGAGGATCCATAATAAAGTGTAGATTTCTGCAGAATGCCAAAGGGAACTCAGGCGCCTTCACAAAAGAAGCTGGGGATGGCGCCGGCCCGGTGGCGCAAGTGGTTAAGTGCACGCGCTCCGCTTTGGCGGCCCAGGGTTCACAGGTTTGGATCCCGGGCATGCACCAACGCACCGCTTGTCTAAGCCATGCTGTGGCAGCGTCCCATATAAAGTGGAGGAAGATGGACACAGATGTTAGCTCAGGGCCAACCTTCCTCAGCAAAAAAAAAAAAAAAGAAAAAAAAAAGAGGAGGATTGGCATCAGATGTTAGCTCAGGGCTGATATTCCTCACATAAAAAAAAAGCAGCAGCAGCAGCAGCTGGGGCAGGGAGGGAAGAGGTGTTTCAGCAGCACTGCTCCCAGCCTCCCTTCCCTCTCCAGGGCAAAGGGGTGGGGCTGCCAGGCCAGCTGACCAAGAGACCTCTCCAGCTCCTTCTGTGCAAGCCCAGCATCTTTCCTACAGCTACTCTACCTTCCACTTCGTCCTCTTTCTTGCATCACTCTATGTCATGGTTACCCTTACCAGCTGGTTCAGGTAGGATGGATGTGGGCCTGGGATACCCTCCTGAAAACCTAGCTATTTTAGGGAAAGAGCAATTCAAGGCCAGTCCTCAGGGTTCTCAGGAGACACACATGGGTGTGCCATATTCTTTGGGGGGGAGATAGGACAGGTCTAAAAGCTAAGGCCCTGCATATTCTCTAACCAGAGACCTTGGTTCCACAGCTATGAGGGAGCAGAACTGGAAAAGACCTTCACAAAGGGTAGCTGGGCTACCTTCTGGGTCAAGGTTGCCTCATGCTGGGCCTGTGTACTCCTCTATCTGGGGCTGCTCCTGGCACCATTCTGTTGGTCCCCCACCCAGGATCCCCAGCCTCCTCCTATCTTCAAGAGACATTGCCATCGCATCAGTATCACCAGATAACAAATATCCAGTCTAGGTTCTTTTAACAAATTGGGGCTCCCTTGAGGTTTACCCATCTTGGCTCAGAGGAGCTGTTCAGCCCAGCAAATACCTCAAAGACACAATGGGCAGTTATCTCCCTTTAGGCCTAAGTCAATACTATATCTGAATTGGAAAAAGTGGCCATACATACCCTAATGCCCTGAGCAGAGTATCTGACTCACTGGAGCTACCGTTACATCTTCACTCCAGCTCAAGAGCCTAACTCCCAAGTCAGCAGCTCAGGAACCACTGCTGATCCCAGCAGACAGTGTGGCACCAGCCCTTTCCTGGCTCTCATGGTGGAGATGGGGGCAGGGAAAGACCAACAGGGACTGAAGACTTACTTGGCTCTGTCCTTGGAAACAAAAAGGAAAATAAGCAGTTCAACCCTGGGCACAGGGATCTAAGAAGAAAGGAGCACAGAAACCACCCTAGGTTTTAATCCTGATCTTAAGGTCAAAGGAAGTGGAAAGACAAAAATCACCTTCATACCATGAGGAATGACAGAACAGAAGAGAATGTGAACACTTTGAGAGCAGCTGACCGTGGAAAGTCAGTGAGCAGCAGGATTTGGGGGCCAACTTTCAAGCAGGCGAACAGAGGAAGAATGAGGAAGAGGGGCATAAACTTAGGTTTGGAGCCTTCCTTCTTAGGCCCTCAAATCCATCCTTGGGATGGTGTTCAAGGTCTGAGTCAGGGACAAAAATCACAGAAAAGTCCCCATGGTTCTTAGAGGATTCCTCTACCACATACCCGGAGTACTTGTCTGTTTGTTGTAGTATAATAAAGGATTTTTCTGTGATGTGTCACTTAGTCTACATATCCACAACCTTTTAGAGTCTAAAGTTCTCTCCCCTTTTGGTGGGAAAGGGCAGCCATTCCTCCATCCCCATCCCCCCAAATCCCCAGTCAAACCAGGCGCTCACGGAATTACAAAGCTACTTTTAATACTTTGGGGTAAGCCCCACAGGAATAAAAAACACTGGGAAGGGGTAACCCCTTCACCCCCAGGAGTGGCCCAGGGGGAGAGAGGCTATCTGAGGGGAAGGAAGCACAAAAGGGACCCGCTGCAGACTCAGGGCAAAGGGAATGCCATCGGTGCTGGGACCTGTGAGCACTACAGGAGAAAACGCGAGCGTGGTGGGACTGGCTCCAGGCACACAGGCGAAGGGCAAGAGGGTTGGACACGAAGCCACAAAGCTACTTGGGTTCCTCCTTCTTCTCGTTTGCCTTTTTCTGCTTCTGCTGCATGATCTCCGAGTCCCTGGGGGTAGAGATGATGGGGCACTGGGAGGTACCAGAGGGCAAAAAGGACAAGATGCAGGGGGATGAAGGGCACAAGGATAAGATGGAAGTGGATGGGACAAAATTCAGCGTGTGGCTGCTGTATTCCCACCTTAGGAGAACAAGAGGAAGAGAGCTGAGGCTCAAAAGGCAATCAGTCTCTAGCTGGCTGTTGCCCAAGGGGTCAGAAGTCTGGCCACAGAGGCCCAAGTCTATTCTGTGCTGGGGACCACGCCCAGCAACACCACTGAGAAGGTTGGGAGATGGGAGGAGAAGCAAACAGCAAGGAGGGCCAAAAGTACCAGGCTGTCATAACCACTACTGCATTTGAAATGTGAAGCTCCCTGCCCTTGCCCTTAAGGTCAGACCCAGGAGCACTCAGAAATCAGACCGAGGGCAGGCGCCCGCCCCAGTCCCTTCCTGTAAGGCTGTGAGCTAACCATTTGGAGGGTGGGGAGGAAATAAAACCCTAGAGGAAGCAATGTACTCTGCCCCTCACGACTAGTCCAGATGTAAGCGCTGAGGTAGCTCTCCTTCCAGGTACAACCCTTGGTCTAACCCAGGTCTCACCCCGCCCCTCCCCTCCCTGGGGCTACCTCTGCTTGCGGGCGGCAGCAGAAAGCCCGTCATCTCGGCGCTTTCCCTTAACCGAGTCGCTCTGCTTTTTCATATTCTTCTGGCGGGCGAGCTCGCGCTGGTTACCGCCTAAAGAAAGAAGGTAAAAGGTGAGTCGCGGGGGCCTTTCCGGCCACACACCGGCGACCCTCTTTCCTCACCCGGACACCAGTAGAGTCCAACACTTCATTCCCTGGGCCCCGACACCAGCACACTTCGGGGCCTAGGCTGCTGACTGGGGGAGGAGGGGGATGGCGAGCTGCCATGGGGCAGGTCACACTGGGGGGTGGAGGGCGGTCAGTCCCGAGGAGCCTGCTAGCGGCATGTTCCGAGTTTCGGGGCGGCCTGGGGGCCGGGACAGATGGTGGTGGTGTGTGTAGACGGTGTGGGTCTCTGTGGGGGATGGGCTGGGGCCCGGGGTAGGGACTCTGGGTCTATCAGAGGGCACAAGGCTTCTGACCAAACCGCGGAAGGTCGGGGAGAGCCTCTGCCTGACTCGAGAGGGGGGTTCTCAAGAAGTAGCGGTGGGCAAAGGGCCGATTTCCGGGCTCCGAGTGTGAGGGGCGCTAAAGAGCGCTCCCAGAGAAGGGCCTCGCTGGGGAGACCAAGAGAAGGTCAATGCCGGGACTCAGCAGCGGTGTTCAGGGTGGACAGGGAGAGAAGGGCAAGGGGCGGGGGTCTCGGTGCTCACGGGTCATGGCGACGGCAGCGGCTCCGGCCTGCCTCCGTTGCGTCCCCTCGTTCAGTCCGACGTTGCAGGCCCCGCCCCTTTCTCGCGGCGTAACGAAGTCGTCCTTTCCACCCCGCCTCTTCGCGCCCGGGCGCCAGCTCCTATTGGACACGAAGAAACACGTGGGGCCGCGGGCCACGCGCAAGCCCGGGAGGGTGAGGAGGGGAGGTTCGCAGGCCGAGCGCGCTGCGTGGGGCGGGGCTGCCCGGGCAAGGCGTTGGGTCGGGCGGGGAGAAACTAGGCCGGGTCACGTGGGCAGGGTGGGGGTGGAGGGGTGCGGCTGACGATGTGGCGCTCCCGCGGGCTGGAGCACGTGACCTGGCCGAGTGACCTCATGCGTGGACCGTTTGGGACACTGACAACTCACCCAGAAGGAACGCTGGGGGGGGGCAGGGGGTGGGAGTGCTTTCCCCAGAGCTGAAATGGTTATTAGGACTCTGGGAGTAAGCTTGGCCCTGTTACTTAAGAGCCCCCTACCACCCCGTTTGGACGCTTGAGTTGTTCACATAATCATGTAAAATCATGTACAAAACGCAACTTCAGAAATCCCTCAGGCCAGGCTGGTGGCGTAGTGGTTAAGTTCGTGGGCTCAGCTTTGGCGGCTGGGGATCTCAGGTTTGTGGCCTGGGCGCAGAGTTAGGCACCACTTACCAAGCTATGCTGTGGCAGGCGTCCCAGAAATAAGTAGAGGAAGATGGGCATGGATGTTAGCCTAGGGACAATCTTCCTCAGCAAAAAGAGGAGGATTGGCAACAGATGTTAGGTCAGGGCTAATCTTCCTCACCAAAAACAAAAAGAAATTTCTACCTGCCACATTGTCCCACCAACCCAAACGCCTCCAGTATAGAAAGTGGGAGCCACATCCCTTATGTCCTAAAACTTTGGTCCTGCTCATTTCCCACAGAAACTTTAAATGTGAAGATGCCATAGCTTGGAAGTATTGGAGGACCCCCCGCACCCCCAAAAACACAGTTGGATCATGGACCTAAGTGATTGGGAAATGCGCATACTATGTCCCTTGCTCCCTCTGGACATTTCCCCACTGTACTCTCTCCACCAGACACACCTGATTTGTAAGATGCAGTTGAATAGGGCAAAAAGCTTAGGTTTCCCACTAAACTCATTCTCATTCCCAGCTTTGTTAATCTTCCATTTATAAGACTCCCCACCAGTCCTGTGTAATTCATTGGATAAAGGAGAAATCCTTGGGAAACATCACAGGAAAGGACTGGTTGTAAATTTTAACTTGTGATTTTCTCCAGCTAGTGCCCATAGCTAACCTAGTTGAGGCTGGAACTTCAAACTGGTTTCCCCCTCAATCTAGAGCTAATGGGAATGCAATAAACCTCAGTCAGTACCATCCTTACAATTCTTGCCATACCCAAGTATCACTTGAACTACTGTCTATTACTTAAAATTTTTCTATCAGTCTTAAAGAATTTAACTTCATATTCCTTTAGTAAATTTTTTTTTCTTTTGAGGAAGATTAGCCCTGAGCTAACATCTGTTGCCAATCCTCCTCTTTTCGCTGAGGGAGATTGGCCCTGGGCTAACATCCGTGCCTATCTTCCTCTACTTTATATGTGGGACGCCTGCCACAGCATAGCTTGACAAGCAGTGCATAGATTCATGCCTGGGATCCACACTTGATCTTAGCCAAAAGGCCGAGAAGCGATATCATGCCTGGGATCCAAACTTGAGCACCCCAGGCCGCCAAAGCGGAGCACGGGAACTTAACCACCATGCCACCGGGCCAGCCCTATCTTTAGTAGATTTATAATTTTATTTATTTATTTTTTTCCTCCAAAGCCCCAGTAGATAGTTGTATGTCATAGCTGCACATGCTTCTAGTTGCTGTATGTGGGACACGGCCTCAGCATGGCGAGATAGGCGGTACGTTGGTGCACGCCCAGGATCCCAATCCGGGCCGCCAGCAGCAGAGCGTGCGCGCTTAACCACTAAGCCACAGGACCGGCCCTATCTGTAGTAAATTTAAAATCAGTATCCCCTGCCCACAAACAGTAAGTAACTATAAAAGTAAATACAGTAAAATGAAGTATATTTTTAAATTCTACCAAAATAATATCACTGTCAAAGGTGCTGAGCCTGGGGCCTGCCCTCTCTTTCTTAAAAAGAGAAATTAACAAGTGTTAGGTAATAATGCATAAGTCTACCAAACTGAAGCTTTCTCTTGACATAATCAGAAGATTGAAAAGCATTCAATTTTTATACTTTCAATATTATTTAATGCTATGTCTCTCTGTACTAACTAAATTTACTTAGACCACCAGTAGCACATATCCCACCCTTTGGTACATACTAAGTGTAATAGACCAATGTATGGTGGCACACATGATAATGTACAA